AACTCCTTCAGTCCTTCGCGTGGGGAGCGGACCTCCAGAGCTCAAACACAATACCCTAGCGTTAACTGACTTCGCTGGCGGAGGTAGCAGGCGTTGCCACACCGCTGTCAGACACAGCCAGAGGGGAGAAACCAGTACCACTTTAAGAGAGATTTTAAGGATTTGGGGATTGGGAGAGAATGGAAGAATAAGGAGGAATGAGAAAAAAAGATGTTTTGCAACCACCAACAGCAAAATAGAAAGAAATAAAATGGTAAAGAGGAGTGAGTGGGCAATTGGCGACCCACTCACTTGTTTCATCCCCAGGGCAAAGCATCCAAACTCCTTCGTTCCTTGGTGTGGGGAGCGGACCTCCAGAGCTCAAACACAATACCCTAGCGTTAACTGACTGCGCTGGCGGAGGTAGCAGGCGTTGCCACACCGCTGTCAGACACAGCCAGAGGGGAGAAACCAGTACCACTTTAAGAGAGATTTTAAGGTATTTGGGGGGGGAGGAGAATAGAAGAATAAAGAGGAAAGAGAAAAAAAGATGTTTTGCAACCACCAACAGCAAAATAGAAAGAAATAAAATGGTAAAGAGGAGTGAGTGGGCAATTGGCGACCCACTCACTTGTTTCATCCCCAGGGCAAAGCATCCAAACTCCTTCAGTCCTTGGCGTGGGGAGCGGACCTCCAGAGCTCAAACACAATACCCTAGCGTTAACTGACTGCGCTGGCGGAGGTAGCAGGCGTTGCCACACCGCTGTCAGACACAGCCAGAGGGGAGAAACCAGTACCACTTTAAGAGAGATTTTAAGGATTTGGGGATTGGGGAGAGAATGGAAGAATAAGGAGGAATGAGAAAAAAAGATGTTTTGCAACCACCAACAGCAAAATAGAAAGAAATAAAATGGTAAAGAGAAGTGAGTGGGCAATTGGCGACCCACTCACTTGTTTCATCCCCAGGGCAAAGCATCCAAACTCCTTCAGTCCTTGGCGTGGGGAGCGGACCTCCAGAGCTCAAACACAATACCCTAGCGTTAACTGACTGCGCTGGCGGAGGTAGCAGGCGTTGCCACACCGCTGTCAGACACAGCCAGAGGGGAGAAACCAGTACCACTTTAAGAGAGATTTTAAGGTATTTGGGGATTGGGGAGAGAATGGAAGAATAAGGAGGAATGAGAAATAAAATAACTATTTTGTCGCCACCAACTTTATATAATTAGAAAGAAAGTTGAGAAACCCTAAGCTCAATTACAGTCAAAGTGTAGAGCAGGGTACCCCAATTTAGGCAGATTGAATTTAAGAAAGGCAATCTGCTCCATGAGATGAGGTGACATTTGTGAGCGCTGTGGATTCAGTATATTACCGGTTACCGAAAACACACGCTCACTTGGGACAGTGGTTGGCGGACATGATAGCAGCTCCTGCGCAACCAATGAGAGTGCAGGCCACACACTCTTCTTCTCATCCCAATAGCTAAGAGGGTCGACATTATGGGGCA